GTTGTTTGAAGTGTGATTGTTTTTAGTTAAATGCAGTTTGAGAAGAGATTGTAGATAAGCCAATTTAAATGAGAATTAAATTATTTAATTTAATAGTCAAATTTTGCTGTTGGACGATTACAGCAAAACTGCAGAAAGGCATATATGCTAGATTTCAACAAGTCAATCAAGGATTTTTAAATTAAATTATTTAATTTAACAGTCAAATTTTGCTGTTGGACGATTACAGCAAAACTGCAGAAAGGCATATATGCTAGATTTTGGATTGGCAAGACAGTATATTACTGCAAATGGTGACGTTCGTCCGCCTAGAGCGGCTGCAGGTTTTAGAGGAACAGTTCGTTATGCTTCTGTGAATGCTCATAAAAATAAAGTTGGTATATAGTTAAATGTATACTTGTGTTAAAATCATTCTTAATTTAAATTAAAATGATAAAAATTATATTTGATATTAGGAAATGGGTCGCCACGATGATCTGTGGTCACTGTTCTACATGTTGGTCGAATTTGTAAATGGTCAGTTGCCGTGGAGAAAAATTAAAGATAAAGAACAAGTAAGTCTTTATTACAACATAATGTAGAATAGCAGTATTATGCATTATTTTCAAATAAGTTTCTTGTTTTTTAATGTTTATATAAACTCTTGTCAACTTAATGAACTTTTTATTAATATACTTTTTTCAACTACAGCTACATCTATTACTGAAGGTAGCTATTTTACATGAAACAACAATACTTATTTGTCTTATAATTTCAATTTTTCCAATTTATAAATTATTGTATAGGTATTTGTCTTAGTAAGGTATTAATTTTATTATAAATTTATAAAAATTGTTCATACTCTAACTGAACTGTAATGTGCATTCATGAACCATGCTTAATTCAAATAAAAATTCATAGTACAAAAGTTCTTTGATTATTAACTATTCATATTTAATAGTTGCGATATAGAATTAGCTTAAGAAACAACAAAAATAAAATAAAATTTTTAAACAAAGTGTTAAGGATTCTGTGGACAAATTAATTAGATTAATATTGGTAAAATTATATTTTACCATTATTCATTTTGATGAATGTAATTTGAAACATGTAACCAGACAATGTCATATTGAGATACTTGATATTAAGACTGACTGTTATTTAATCAAGACACTTAACATAAATATAAAATTGCAACATATATAGATGAAAGATAACTTTAATGGATTAAATGTACGGTACATATTATGAAAACAATAATAATAATAATCTAATATAGTTAAATACTTGTTTTAAGTAAAAAGTAAAAGTTAACATGCTGGATTATAAATGTTTTTGATGTTGAATATATTTTTGAATGCTTCAGCTAGTTATTTGATTTCCTGTAATGTTTACTTAAAATTATATTAAAATTAATTCTGAATAATTCTAAATAATAATAAATGTAATTAGGATCTAATTATGTTAAAATGCATTAAATGAAAGTAATCTAGTGTTGAATCTATTGATTCAAGCTAAATTTCATTTAAAGAATTCTGATAAATTAATTTATTTATAAACTACATTCTTTTCTTTATAATATTTTAAAATAAAGCAAAGAAAAACTTATTTTAATATCCAGTGAATTGCTGTAAAAATTTAATTTAGTAAATGTTACTTTTTACAAATTTTGTGATTTTTTAAAAAGAAGAAGAAGAAATTTTTTTCTTGGCAATCAATCATTTTTTTTATTCTAACAAAAATGATTTAATTTAATTGTTTTTATTATTGTAATGTAAACTTTTGATTTATTTCTTCAAAATATTTACTTTTTTTTTAATTTTTTATGTAATCTATTTAAAAGTTTTTCTGTTTTTAATTTTTAAATTTAGCAACATTGCATTTGTAAATGATAAGTTTAATACACTTTCTTTTTTGTATGTTTTCTATGTTTGAGAGCCTATAAAATAGTATACTAATTTAACTCTTGGTTCTTAAATTTTAGTCCTGTTGCCAACTGATTGCTTTTGTTTGATTCCAGCTTGAAATAGCATTGCATTCTATAACAAACTATTGGAACTAATATTATAACTCATTACGAAACAAAGGTTTATAAAAAGATATTCTGTCAGATCTAAAATTTTTATTGAAATTTTTTATGATTTTTATACAAATTTAATGAGTGTATCCACACATCTATATACA